CGGGGGCGTACAGCCGCTGGATGTACTCGAGGAAGGAGAATAATGAGTCTTCTGCTGGGGTCAGAGATATCGAGAGTTCTGACGCAATTTTATCGCTTATACTGGGCGGTGAAGTATGATTACTGGATGTCGAGAAAGTGGAGACACTAGAAATGCTGTGTCCAATTGGGGGTCGATGGAAGTTGCGCCGGAGACGCACACGGCGCGTGAGAAGTGACCTCATGACGGGGGTTATGATTAGGTAGAGTATCTGTGGTGCAGGTGCTGCGAACTTAATGAGAATAGATGCGAACCTAACATATCGGAATGATAGAACTTATCTTGTCTAAAGTGTTTGAACAAGTGCTACCCCATAAATGAGTACCCTTTAAAATTTGGTCGTTGCCCATTTTGGTCACGTGCCCTTCTCGTGGTCTAATGGAAATTTTGCTGCGGGCAGCAACTTCGTCCGTTTTCCCATAAACTCGGCCAGAAATATCCCGCGATCGGCTTCGGAACCTCGTGGCGTCGTGTTTCTATCCATTTCGGCATTACGCTGTTCGCTAACGGAACAAAGCCTCGTAAAGCTCAAAGCCCAAGCACCATCAAACAGACAAAAGCGCTTGACAAATTGTCGAAGAGACCCAAATTCAAGCGGATTCCTGCTAACCATATGGACAAAAAGACCAACTCAGATGCCCATTTCTGTGTCAGCACCGAAATGATGAAAGTTGAAGCAAAATGTAGGAGGAAACTTATGCAGGTGTCCTTGGTGGTTCAGCGGAGGCATCAGGTCAGCTACCACGAGTCAAAAAAATAAAATAAAGTTGCTATTGCTCCGCTTGGGTGTGGCAGTGATTGCAGCTCTCCGCGTTGGTAATACAAACACTGGCGCTGGATTCTATCCGATTGGATCAGCGTTGGCGCTTTTTACGTTGTGCGACTGCTGTACAGTACATGTACAAACGCTAAGCTGCCCGCAATCTGCATAAGACTTGTCGTTGCCAAGTTTTGGTACCTGTAAAAGCAGACGACTAGTGGAGTGAGGTCTTTTCCCCGATTTGAGCACTGCGGCATCACTTTGCTGACTTGATCACACTCCATTACGTGCAGGAGCCGACGACCGCTTCGCTCCATCTTTCGCTACCTTCAAGGAAGTGCTCATTTCTTCCGTTCAATGCTCAAAATGGGGGTTCGTCGTCGCCATCTGTCTACAAGAAGATCGCCATTTATTGGCCAAATCTGCGTTACGAGTCGGACCTAATCGCGCTGACTTGTTGTCTTTCTGATAGAACCATCTATCCGTACTCACAGGGTATCAATATACACAAAAATTTTAAAAGCGTCTTAGTAATTCACCTCACCCGTACACCATTATGTATTTACACAGGTCAGTGCCGCCCACACGAAATACCTGAGCAGAACCGCGGCGAGCCCATCAAAATGGCGATCCAGTGGACGCAGGCAGGGCGCCACCAGGTGTACAGTAGAGGTGCCGTCGCCATGTGGTCATCGTCTTGTCCAGCGCAATGGGGCGGGCCTCAGCACAGAGACTTTAGGACGGAAGCCCCAGCATGCCGCTGTGTCGGACCATGCGGGTGCTCTTCCTAGGCTTGGCCTTCGCAATACAAGGCACGGAGTCGTCCCTCACCGATGCGAGGGGGCTGCAGTTCGTGGACCAGGAGGCCTTCTGCGCCTACCACTGCAGCGCATCGCACGTGGCGCAGGCTTATCGCCACTTGAGCGAGACGTCCGAGTGTTTAGAGGCCAATTGTGGCCGATTCCTAGCAGAAACTACACAAACCAGAACGCGGCGGAGACTGCGCCCGGCGTTCACGTTCACAGACAGCAACGCCACCAACCAGTCGTCTGTGGTGGGGGACGTTCACGCAGCGAGCGAAGACGGCAAGGACGTGACCATTATCAGCGTTGTATCGTGCGCCAGCGTGACGGATGTGACACTCTCGATCGGAGACCCGGAGACCGACGCGTTTGCCAACTTTTACCAGGCGTTTAGCTCCGCATATGACGCCATGTTGTCCGGAGACAACGCGACGTACGATGCGTGTCAACTGCAGTTCCTGCAGAAGGAGCTGCTGGCCAATTACTCGACCGAACTGGACGACGAACCGGACGAAATGGAGATCAAACCGACGCTAGTCAAGCTGAACTCAACCAGCGACGAACTGAAATGTTTAGCGAAAATTAAGAAAATCTGGCCCGCTACAAGCGAGAGCCACACTCCATTCTTGACTAGAAGCGACCAGGACGATGCAGCGGCGACAGTTATGCTGGTACACGTGAGCGCGTCTGTAGGGGACGATATCCTGGCTCTGGAATGTGTGGAGAGCGTGACAGTTCTCCCGGCCATTTTGAAGCTCATGCCGTTCGCCAAGAGCTCGTACGCTTTATCAAGGAGTTCGAGCGAGAAGAAAGAGGGGCCAGCACTGGAGATCCGACTGGCTAAAGTGGTGAACACTGCACAGATACTCAAGAAACTATCGGCGTATGTTACCAAAGCGACGGGTATTAAGAACTTGATTGCGATGCAGAGCTCCACGGCGGAGACAGGTGGAGTGTTGCTACAGGCTGCAGTGGACGACTACGACACGTGGACTCAAGCGCTGGCTATTGTACTGGATGACGAGGCTGTAGAGTGGGTGGATCTGCAACAGGTTGTCAAGACTGGCGCGCTGCAAGAGCTCAAGACGCCGGCTCTAGAGCAGCGACTGCTACGTCAGAGGTTCGTTGAGGAGCTGGAGATGGCAGAGACGCACACCAGTCGACGCCTTGACGACTATGTGCAGGACCTCGTGGGTGTGAACATTATGCAGGAGCACAACATCACTGGCAGCTCCATCATCGTAGGGATCACAGACACGGGACTGTACATCGACCACGACCAGTTCGACCAGGAGTCGAGGAATATGTACGACGACGAGGACTTGACGGCACGTAAAGTGATTTACTACCAGACGTTTGCGAACGATGTGGACGAAGCTGAAGGAGTGACGTGCGGCCACGGTACGCACGTGTCTGGTGTTCTGGCTGGAAGTTCGTACAGCCGAAAGAACAGCGACCTCGGTATTGCGTCCAGCGCACGGATCGCCTTCATGGATATCGGTAAACAGGCATCGACGTGTGCGGGAACCAGCGGCTGTGATGTGTCATTGGAGACACCGGGGGAAGTGACGAACCTCATGAAGGCGCAAGTGGCGACAGGTGCCAAGATCTTCTCCTTCTCGTGGGGCACAGGCGCCAATGACTACAACACGCAGACGCAGCAGGTGGACGAATACATTTACGACAACCCCGAGATTCTCATCATCGTAGCAGCAGGAAACAGTGGAGAGACTGGCGACTACACGATCAGTAGTCCGTCCGGCGCCAAGAACGTCATCTCCGTTGGCGCTAGTCTTAACGCGGCCGCTTCGTTCTCATCTACGCCGTGTCAGTCGGTTCTTAACGAGAACACAGTGGCGTCCTTCTCTTCGATCGGCCCTACTCTGGACGGACGGCAGAAGCCGGACCTGATTGCGCCTGGCATGTCCATTACCTCGTCTCAGTCGGAGAAACCTGGTTCAACCATGAAATCTTCGGCCGTGTGCTCGTTACAGGGAACATCTCAGGCCACGCCAGTGATCGCCGGTATGGCTGTGCTAATCTACGAATGGCTACGTGATGGCTGGTGGAAGAACGGCGTGGCGGACCCCACGTACGGCATGGACACGATCCCGGCGTCTTTGATTAAGGCGCTGCTGCTACACAGTGGTGAAGCCATGTCTCGGCGTCTCATTGAGCCCAGCACTGGCGTCACGTCTTGTGTGGCACTGGAAGCCGCCGCGAAAACGCTCACGTCGTACCCGGACTTCAACCAGGGGTACGGGAAACCCACGATGCTCAACTTGGTGTCGTTCATGGGCGGCAACAACGCGTCGTCTTCTTCGTCGACCAGTAGTAATACTATCTACTTCTTCCCCAACTCGTCGTCTGGATCGGAGCCCAGTGTGACCGAAGGCAGTGAGGTGACGTTCCACTTCATGTTGACAGCCAGTGTGAACCTCCGAGTGACGGTCGTGTGGACGGATCCGCCTGGATCTGTGGGCAGCAAGGCGACGCTGCAGAACGATCTGGATCTGACGCTTAAAGTGGCCAACACGTCTGCAGTCTTCTATCCTCTGTCCGGGAACGGGTCCCGTGACTCGGTCAACAACGTGGAGATGGTCGAAGTTTCCTACGACGACGTGTTGGACGCCGTGACGGAGGCGGGGATGGTGGTGGAAGATGGATACATCTACGTTCAAGCCGTGGTGAGTGGCCACAGTGTAAAGGCTGGAGAGAACGCGACGACTACCGGTCAGAAGTTCTCGATTGTTGCGTCGTCCACCCCGTCGTCCACGTCCATGACGTCGGCTGGGGACGGCGACTCGGCCTTCTGGCAGCCGTGGATGACGATCGGTGCCATCGTTGTATGTACGCTGGCTCTACTCTTCGTCATCGCATTGGTGTGGCGTATGCGCGTGACCATGAAGGCCGACAACCTCAAGGCGGATCACGGTACTCCCTCCGCTGATGCTGCGCTCACGGGCGCGGCCGGAAGGAGGAAACTCAGCCGTCGGGAGCGCAAGAGAGCCAACGAGGAACGCACCAGTGTACCGCACATTCACCCCAACTACCGCAACGTGAATGCAGGAGGTAGTCTGCGTCCTGCTCTAGAGGAACCGATGGCCATGGGTAGTCGACGTGCATATGATCACGAACCCAGTCGACGCGCCTTCGACCCGTCCGCCGCCGGTGTACACGAACCCAGTAAACGTACTTTTGACCCGTCCGCAGCTGCTGTACGTGAGCCCAGTCGTCGTGCTGCAGTCCCCTTGGAGCCGCCTCAGCCTACTTCAGCGCGTAAAACTAGTCGTCGTGCTGCCGCTGCGCTAGCGGAGCCTCGTCCTCCGAGCAAACGCCGTGACGGTAGCGACCGTGGACAGGAACGCAAGCACAGTGACGGTAGCGACAGAGGACGCGTGCGTAGCGAGCGGAGACGGGAACGAGAACGCAGCGACCGCAGTGATGGAAGCGACCGGGGCCGTGTACGTAGTGAGCGAAGACGGGAGCGAGAGCGAAGTGACCGCAGTGAGCGACCGGGTAGCGATCGGGGACGCGAACGCAGCGCCAGGAAGCACGAGCCTGCTAAAGCACATTCATCGCGGCGTAACAAGCCCCCGATCATTCTGTACGAGTGAGCTGGAGATCATGTGGATAGTGTGAGGTCAATGTAAGAGGAGACGTTGTGCCGTACATCGGCGCGTGATAGAAGCCCGCCGCGCCTAACTCAGTGAATTATGGTAATTTTGTCAACGTAAAAATTTGTTCTTAGATTTGGCTATTCCAACCTTCGATTAGATTTTTTTATGCTCTTCTCTACTTGCTGTTACAGGTCGCTGATCACCAGTTTTTTCATCGTTTCGATCATTTGCCTGAACTCTTCTTCGCCTGATTTGGCAAGGATATTCACAAAGCGGTCTACAGTACCGCGTCCAGACGTACTGCCAAACCCCGTTGGCACTAAGCGCGTGTAGCTTTCTAGAACAGTATTGCTTTGTTCACAATTCCCAATTGACGGACGAGCAACCATCCACGTCGTATCGTTGGACTGCAATCCCTCAAAATGTCCAAGTCCCTCTGTGAAGGTCCGCCAAATAACCACCAATCGATCCTTTTCTCGGTATTTTTTCGCGGCACCGTAGACCCTAAAAGACCCACTCTCCCCTTGAGTGAGTTGATATTTTACAAGATACTTAATTGTTAGCGTGTCCTTCACGTCCTGAACGTTAACGGTCTCAAAGTCCGTGTCTGGATTAGACAGCATCACTATCGACACTGCGTCGGCCGCTTGCACGAAGTTGTATGGGAGCACCGTTCGATCCGCATTTTCAAAGTACGAGACGCCCTCCTTCATTTTTCGCCTTAAACTGTTCGCCACGCGGATGGCCGACTCGAATTCCAAGCCGTGCACGACATCATCAGTTCGTGCAAAGGCCACATCCAGCTCTTCGAGCATGGTTTTAAACAACAAAGACCCGCCTAAGTTACAGTTCGTTTCCATCAATTCACACGAAATGAGTCCGTTCTGTTGGTTGTTCTTTAGCTGCTCTCCCAGCAACGAGCTAATGTGGTGGATGAGCATCGCTTTTCCAGCCACCTCCGCCCGCAGCAGCTTCTGCTGTTCTTCCGCTTGCATCCGTCTCTCCAGTTGTCGAGCAGCAACTGCTCTCCACGCGCCAAACATCAACGTACTTGCTTGCTTCTTCTTCAGTTCCAATTGAGCAGCTTGTAAGCTAGTCAGATGAGTGGACAGTTCTACTGCTTGTCGCCTTAACGTTTCCTTCTCGTCTCTGATCTTTTCGCGATGACGCTGTCGACGCTGAGCAGCCTGGGCATGACGTACTTCGCGTCGACTTTTGGCGGATATTTGGACATTTTGCAGCGCTATACTCGTGGATTCCTCGGACGAGTTGGTGCTTGTATGGGCAAAATTAACGTCTTGTTCTTGCTGGTTACTGACGGCGGTCTTGGAGGATGCGAGCAGCTCCGCAGTCTCCGCTAATAGTTGATGACTGGCCAAGAGGAGTTCGTAGTCACTAGATGTCGTGGCTTCCTTCCGATTTGTCGTATCCATTGCTTCCTGTACACCGTCCTGGTCCAGAAACGCCGCCACCTCGTCCAAGAAGGCGGCGTCCTCCATCCCAAATTACTCGTTCGTAAGCGAACTGGACACAATGGTATAAAGTAAGCAATTGGAAGCAATTTATTAGTTGTTGTATGGGACACGTAAACAATTTGGCACATCCATAAATCCTGATGAAATGCATACGCGCAGAGGTTTTCGAAAAGAAGGCGGTAGCAGTATTACCGGTAATACTAGACCAAATTTTTCCGAGTAATACTAAACTATAGAAAACACAATAGGGTAGTAGTATTGTAGTAGGTTGACCTATCGAGTGGACTACGATACCGTGCAGGGGCAGCAAGTTGAAATCGTCGACTTGACAGGCGACGTTAGCGTGGACGACACTAACTAGTTCGGTGACGGCGAGTGTTCTGGATGCAGTGTGGTGACTAGCGCGAGCCGGTGGGGGTAGTGCCACCGAGGACAGGCGGTAGCGGTTGAAGTGGGGCGATGTCAGAGGGTCGCAAGGGCGACAAAAGATTGAAGGAAGGAGGGAAGATACGGACGCAAGGAGAGCGAAGGCACCACAGGGGCGAGGCGACGCCTCCAAGCAGCGGTAGGATAGCTTTGG